TTCACATTACATACTAGTGTGATGCATTCCCTGAACAAACAGTACATATTTGCACTAATACACCAAATGTATTAATTCCTGCCAACATCAGTTCTGATCAGTGTTATATGCTGCACTTAAAATCATTGTAATTTTTTTTTCTGTTGGGCTTTGTAAAAAATGGGGGAAGCTAGCTCATGCTGTTGACTAGTTAGTTTTAAGCAGCATGTATTGGTTCAAACAGTTCCATTATTACCGGTATCTGTTTTGAATCCCCAAAAGGCCAATGTGATTCCCCTTTCTCTTATCCTTCTTGTTTTTCTTCAAATAGTCTTTTGTGTATAACTAAGTACCTAGGTGGGTACTGTTCATTAATATTCTGATTTGGTTTTTTAAAAAACTTTCTGCATTGTTGACCAACTTGAGTTTTGTTAATTGGAAAGGCAGGATATAATTTAAGAAATAAACTACCTCTAAAGCCGTTAACTTTGTGATGTTTTGTTACTTGAAATCCAGATGCAAAATTACCTATTGCTTCTTTCCAAACACTATAAGATTCATGTTCTCTTAGGCTATAATCCATTGTACAGTTAAGATACAAATAGGTGTCCTTTATGAAGCTTTGAGCAGAACCTGCAGAATCATTTTAGCAATTTCAATTATTAAGGGCTTACAATGGGATCCTAGCTTGACTTTACTTCCACTTGCCAGATAATCTTCCCACAACTATGGCCATACTCCTGAAAGCAAAAGAGATTGATCAAATGAGCTTTAAACTTCATTCCAGGGGAAAGATGCTATCTCAGAAAGGTCTTTATTGTTTGCAAATTATGCAAACAATTCATGACTGCCACACAAACCTCTTGGAAATATTTCCAAAGGGGGAAAAAAGAATGGATTGAAATGTGTTTATTATATTACTATACAGTCACTTTCTCAGTCTGTTCATTTTGTCCTCCACTTCCTGCACAATATTATGCAGTTTAGCGGCAGTTTTTGTCAAGGCAGCAAAGCTTTCTTTAAGGTTTCCAGTCCCTTCATTTCTGCCTATATTGTCAAGACCATCAAACCATTGTAGAATCCCTTCAAGATGCCCCTGGACAATCTTTTGCTCTTCCAGTTCTGTTTGTAGGGCTTGCTCAGCACACATTTCAGCTTTAAGTTCTCTTTCTAGCTGGCTGATTTCATTCTCCAGCTCTTGAAACTGTTTTGCAGTGTAGCAAAATTCCTCTTGAAATTTATTTTCTGGAAGGCAAATGTTCTTGGGAATGCTTAAAACTGTGCTTAAAAGAGATTTTTCCATCTTAGTGAACTGATTGTCGAAGCGTTCCTTCATGAAAGCAAAGAATTTTTCTGTGCTCCTCCGGATTAAAGTAGGTGTAAGACTAGGACAGATGTTCTGTAGTTTATTCAATATAACTTTCTCCACTACCAGCATTATATGAGAAAGATGATCTTGAAAAGCAAAATATATCCGCAACATGAATGTTTGAGGGGTAAAACCAAAAAACTGTGCTTCATATGTCATTGGATTTATTGACATGATGAGAAATACCTGGAAAGAACATGGTAAAAAAAATCAGTCTTTAGTAAGTTAATTGGACTGGGTTCATACATTGTGTTACAGTGTCAGTCCTTTGAGGTAGTCCAGACATGAGTTTACTGTAAGATTGCCATAACAGATGTTTGCAAGTCTGAAAGTACATCTCTCATCCCCCCCCCTTGCCTTTATGGTCCAAGAAACTAAGGAGGGTCCCTTCTGAGATTTTTGCTACACTATTACTTCTGTGGGCTAAGGTGCCTCTTATCTCACTGTTGCTTAGACTGCTGCTGCTGCTCCTCATCCTGTTGTTTTGCATGCTGCCTGCATCCCACAGATGTGGCTTAATTTGTTTCTGCAGTCGGGTTTCTGACATGCTGCAGCCTGGTACCAGTCCACAGACCAGGGCTAGGGACCCCTGTTCTAGTCCAATGCCTTGCCCAAGGCAGGAGGCCTTACACCATCCTGGTCAAATGATTGTCCAGTCTTATTTGTGAAAACCTCCAGTGATGAATCACCCATAATTCCAGGGGCAATCTATTCTATTGATAAATTGTTCTCAATTTCAGAAAATTTCTGCTTATTTCTAGTTGGATCTCCAACCCATTACTTGTCATATTCTAAGTCAATCAACTCTTCTCTGTGAGAACCCCTCAAGTACTAGAAGATAGTTGTCATGTCCCCCTTAATTCTTCTCTTTGATAGACTAAACATACCATTACCCATTAACCAAGCCATAGTAAAATGTGGGTTGAGTATATGACAAAAGTTGGATTCATACCAATTGCTGAAATAAAATGGTTTAGCACAGTGCATGATTATTATTAGAACTGATAAACTATTCCAAGCATTTGGGCACATGGACACATATGTAACTTCTTTAAAAGAAAAAAAAAGATAATTGCAAAAGTAAGAATTTAAAAAAACACCATTGTCTAATGGACAGGAAAAGGGGCAAGCAGTCATACAATGAGCGCCATACAAATCAAATCAGTCAGTAGACACTCAACTCCTTTGCATAAACTTTTATATTCAGAATTACTTGATACTTGTAAAATAAAAAGCCTATGCAACTTGACAGCTAAATAAAATTCTGAATACTAATTCCATATCATTGAAATGGTTATAAATAATAAGTGGACTGATTTATTCCATGAAAACATGTTTACAACTGAGCAGCATTATATTACTAGAGAATGTAAAAACTAGCTATTTTGAAATAATTCAAATATTCAAAATTTACTGAAATCGGGCAACCTTTTCTGAGGAAACATGATGGAAAACATTACTTTGGGCTACTACGTTGGATGATGGAATGTTATATACATAGGAACTTGCAAACCTTGCTTTTTTGAATTAAATAAATTATGCCAAACTTGTTGAGCCTCAGAATTCTTTCTAATTAAAGGGCTCTAAACATCACTTATTGAATTTGGATATTTTTTTTCTGAACCATACAATAGTTCTCAATAGTGAAAAATTACCTCTGATAAATTTTTGCCAAACAATCTATTTTTTATAAGAGAAAACTTGGCATTTGGACTAATAATTAGGTCTTAGTGATCTATAATAAAATCTTTGTTAAGAACTGATGAAAGCTATAATAAACTAGCATCAGCATATGCGCTTATTAGTCACAATTGAAATATACTTCCAAGACAAGTGGAAAGTAATGAAAAATGTAACATTTCCTTATAGAAATCCATGCAAAGTAATTTTTAATAAATATGACCTAAGTTCAATATGTTCCAAAAGCAGAACTGTCAGAAGCAGATAAACAGCTATAAAATATAAATAATAACCCCATACATATTTACCTGAGAGCAATTCCTTTTAAATTTAATAGGACTTCTTTCCAAATAGATATATGCTTGGTTGGGTTTGTTAGTATACTACTAACAGAAAATTGAATAGGAACATCTGATAGGTTTCCAAATGCTTTCAAATACACAGATAAGGATGTCCATATACTAATTGTTTTAACTGTGTCAAAACTCCAACCCAAAATACGGGAATCGGCCAGAATTTCAGAACTTCGTTCAATTCTACATTCGTGTTTGCCATAAACAAGCAAGAAACGTATCTTGTACAAACCTTCCAGTGCTGAAAAAGGACAATAATGTGTAATAATCCTGCAAAATGGCAGATAGGCAGCGATTTCCCTTTAAGTGATGCCCGATCGTTCTTCCGTTTATCCTCCTCTCTCGCTTGTCGGTTGTCATTTCATTCTTGATCAGACAAGTCGGTTCTTCCCGATTCCCCATCTTTACATTTTTGGACCCATTGATGTACAGTACTCACGTCAATACAGTCGTCCCCATAAACTGCCTGCATTCGGCGGTGAATTTCAATTGGAGGGACTCCTTTGGCAGTCAAAAACTCAATCACGGCACGTTGCTTAAAGCGTATGGCCGAGTACTCAGCGCAGGCTTCCATTGCACCAGCAATAGCAACCCAACCTTTTCTCTCTTTCTCTCTCATCCACTTCCCGCCAACTGAAGCGAAAAAAGAGACGCCAAACAAAACAGGGCAGAGGTTCCAGCACTGCCATCTGTTGGCGAGCTAACATTGCGACCGTTGCTTTTCCTTTCAACCCCGACAGTAGGCGGCACGATCTTATTTAAAAAATGCCTCAAAAAAAACCCAAAGAGAATGGCAACGTCAGGCTTGAACCGGAGAGGCCCAAATTCGGATCTTAATTCGAATTTAGGCCGCTTCCTCTTCCTTCAGCCCCAACCTGCCTCACAGACTGGAAGGGAGACCGACGTTTATTATTTCTAAGGTGCGCGTACACTTACAGCAAAGACCCCCAGGAGGTAGGTGTATACACGCAATATATACACACACATAAATGTAACCATACTGAAAACTGCCCTCCCAGCGCCATTTCCCCTTTTAAGGGGGGCAGGAAAGCCCTTCTGGAATATTGTTACTTGCGAAAGAGTTTGCCTTCTTTTTCCGATATCCGTTTAATACCCAAAAGTTATCTAAGGTTTTACGGTAACTGGCCAAGTTCTTCGCCGTTTCCTTCGTGCTTTTTGTATCGTGTTAAACGCCAAGTCGCTTTTTAGTCCATTTTGCTCTATTTTATTATTACCGGGTTTTGCATTAAGTCTTATGCTTTGATTTAAAAAGGTTCCATTTTTTTTTAGGTCTGGAGCCCCAACTTACCTCAAAATTTCTCCGTCGCCGAACTGAAATTCACTTTTCCCGCCTCTTTGGTTCTCGCTCCTTGTTCCAAACGGCTTCCCTCTCAACCCGCCCCTTTCCACAACTAACCATAGAGTTGGGGAAGACTAGAGCCACGCAAGCTAGACTCCCGGTAGTCGTCACGATTCTCCGGCACACCAAATCAGCTCTGATTGGGTTCAACAAGTAGACGGAGGGAGGGAGGTGGACGGCGCAGATTGGCTGAAGCGGGGAAAAAGGGAAGAATAGAAATGGCAGAGATTGGCTATTCGGCCAATGGCTTTGCGAATATGATTGGCCGACATCGAGGAGCTGCTGTAAGCAGAGGCAGAGCTTTAAGGCGGCAGCGCCAAGATGGCGTATCAGACTTTTCGGCAGGAATATCTGCAGGTGCCTCCTGTCACACGGGCCTACACTACCGCCTGCGTCCTCACTACCGCGGCTGTGGTGAGTGGAGGAGAAGGGTGGGCTGCCGTGGTCGGTCGCCGGTACAGTAAGCAGTCGTTCGAGGGGAATCCGTAGAGCCTCTCCTTTGACATACCCTCTGCCTTGGCTATTGGGCAGATCTGTTGTATTTCTAGATAGGGTCGTGATGGACTTTTTTTTTTCCTCTGAGTCCAATAATTAATTAAATTTATATGCCACCCATCTCAGTATCCGAAGTGACTCTGGGCGGCATGAAAACTTTGTGCAGCTTAAGTTTCGAAGAGGGGTTATATATCTATGACACTGAATGTAAACAACCCTTCCACTCCTGGGGACCCATCTGCTAAGAACCGATATTAGAACAGGCCATGGAGAGTTAGGATCCCTCAGACTGATTTTACCATATGATTGTGAAAATTAAATCAGGCTGAGAAGAGAATTAAGATAAAATTGTGTAAAATAGAATCTGGAACCCAGTCCAGATATAATCAGTTTATTTTTCCACTGAATAGTAAATCCTGAGCCTGAGAAACCATCATTCAATCTACTCGCCTGCAGCATAACTAAAGTTATCACCTAGCTATGCTATCATTTGCTGTAGACGTTTTTTCTGATACACACATAAACTCACAGCTTAAAATATGGTGCAAAACAAAACATGAAGATATCAGAGATCTTGATATTAAAGGTATATAGTTTTTTTAGAGCAGTGGCTTTTGGGATAGTGTGCACATACGAAAAATACCCTTAGCATGTTTTCCTCAATGTCCAAACAAGCAGAACATAAAAGCAGTAGCCTTCCTTTTTGCGTGCAAGTGTAACATCAAGTTTCTATCTACAGATACTTATTACAAGTTTTATCTTTTTAAGTTATCTTATAAAGTGGTCTTTGCTATACCGATTGTATTATTGTTTTGCTTAGAATTCTGAAATAGAACAAATGGTCCAATTAAGAGGGTTCATCTTTATGGAGGGAAAGAAATGGTACTTTATGTTTGTGGGGTGGGGGAAACAGCAGGTTCTGCCTGATTGGTATTGGATAAAATCAGATGTGTGTTTATGCATGAAGATAGATTGTTTATGAACTAGATTGCATTAGGTCATCAAAGATACTCTAAATTCAATAATATAACCTGTCTAATGGATTCATAAATCACAATGTTTACAACTGCGAATTCCTTTGTATTTTCCTTTCTTTTAGCAATTAGAATTAATCACACCTTTTCAACTGTATTTCAACCCAGAATTGATATTTAAAAACTTTCAAGTAAGTGCTCTTTTGCATGTTTTTTATAAAGACAAGTAGCATAATGCAGTTTTCACAAATCAGAATTGCTAGTATTTTTAACAAATTGAATCAATTCTTGAGATTTTTGGTAGAAGTTAACAGTCTAATTAATACCTATGAGCATTATTCCTAATGTTACATGTTGATTCTGTGTATATGTATGTATGAATGTATGTATATATGTGTGTGTGTATCCATCCACTTATATATGTGAGTACCAGCCTCACTTACTTACTTACTCACTCACTCACTCACTCACTCACTCACACACAGCCGGACCACCAAGCTGGGAAGCTTTATAGCACTCTGAGCTGTTTACAACATCAGCATATTGCCTCCAACAATCTGGGTCCTCATTTTACCAACCATGGAAGGCTGAGTAAACCTTGAGCTGTTCAGGATCGAATTCTTAGCAGTGGCCAGGGTTAGCTTGCAATACTGCATTCTAAATCACTGCACCACCACAGCTTCCTCAAACAAACCAGCATTTGCTTAAATATGATTTATTAATTTCTCATTCCTCATATTTCTTGCAGGTATGGAGGCTGATTACAAACTACCTTTTCTTTGGGCCAGTTGGATTCAATTTTTTATTTAATATGATATTCTTGTATCTTTTGCTTAACTTCTGTATGCAAGCTTACATATGCTTGCATATGTAAGATCTTTTAGACATACCCCAATGAAAGTTGGTTGAATCTTCTTTTCTAATTAATTTTATTTAATATACTGCCATAATTTATATGGACTCCAGATGGTTTAGGAACAACTTTAGAAGCAAATAAGTAATTTAAGGATGATGACACTAGCTGATTCCTTATTTTAAAAAATATTATAAGCAGCATGTTTTGCTTTATTTCAAGGGTAATCATTTGTTTTCATATGTCAGCAGTGCTAACTCCTAATTTGTTTATGGACAAATCAAGTTTTGCTTAGAGTCAAGATGCCCAAAGGAATCTCTGTGGTAGTATTAATTTGGCCATTCCTTGGTATCACCTAATAAGGCTTAGATTAAGTTTGAAAGTGAGGATATGAGAGGAAAAACCTACTTTGTGGTAGTAGCCACTTTCAAGACGCCCGCTCCTAAAGTATTACCAGATATATTATTACAGATGAAAGTTTTAGTTGCTTAAGTGTTTCCTCGTAGCTCTCCTGAAGCAGGTAATACCTATTAAAATTGGTGAGGTTGCTCACCAAATTTATACTTTTTAAAATTAAAACCACCTGGAGAATGTGAGTTCAAATCCTGCCTTAGGCCTGAAAGACAGCAGGGTGACCTTGGGCCAGTCACACACACTCAGCTCAACCCATCTCACAGGGTTGTTGTGGGGAACATAGGAAGGAGTGTTAGGTGTGTTCACCGCTTTGAGTTATTTGTAAAAAATAATAAAAGTGGTATACAAATAAATAAAAATAGCATTGAAGTTGCTGTTGAATCAAGAATATTCCTTTAGTTGCTTGATTGCTGCATGATATAATTGTCACTGAATATATAATCTTTAACAAAAGATGAACATGAGGACTTATTTTGAATACATATGTATTCAATTAATTGATGTCAATTTCTCCAGATCCATTTTCTTTGTAGGAAGAATAGATTTACATATGAGTCAAATAATGTATTTGTTTACAAAATTTATATAGCTGCTCATTTTAAACAAACCTAGGTGACTAAAAATAATCCATGGAAGAAATAACTCTTCAAATTACAAGTATAAAACAAAATTATAATAACCGTAACCCAACAGAGAATGTGATTGTTGTGATTTGTTCTTGTTGCATCTGTAAGATCTGTACTGGTAATCTCCAAGTTTAAAAGTCTCAACTACAAAAATATCAGCAAATCAAACAATACAAAATTAGATCTGTAATGATAGGAGGCAGATCCTTTACCCTGGTTGTAACTTGGTTACAAAAACCTACCTTAGATTTTTGGATTGTATAGGCAGAAAGTCCCTGATGTATACCAATTCTATGGCATAGAATTTTTAATGTCAGTATTGACCTTATTTCCCAAAAGATCTGATAAAATGTTTGATTCTGTGTAATTAACAATAGCCTAGAATTATTTCAGTTCTAAATGCTAAAATAAGACTAAAGGTGTATCTACTTGTACTTAAAATCCTTTTCTTCTTCCACCCCTGAATCTGAAGCTAAAACACAGAACAGAGTTTCATTTTCTTGTAGAAATAAAATAAAATACATCTAGTATTTTCCTGAACTGGTGATCAGATATCGCTATTGTCGAATGCTTGAGGAAGGATCATTTCGTGGTCGGACAGCAGACTTTGTATTTATGTTCCTTTTTGGTGGACTCTTAATGACTGTATCCTTTCATTGTTGGATTTTATATATAAGATCTGGAACAAGATAAAATGATTATAATTGTTCTCCATCTATTTTTGGGATCTCTCTTTAATGGTGAATACATCTTCTAGGAAGGCAACTAAACAAACAGCAAACATTTTTTTCAGAAATGAACATTTTGTAAGAGAATTCTGGGTTCTTATGTTGATGGGAATTCATGTGCTGTTATGATAGGCCTGATCAGGGGAAATTATATATAAAAATACCCATTTTTTCAAAGAAAACATTTCCTCAGTTGATTTGGAACTGGTTGGGCTTTAACTTTCTAAAAGAGTCTCAAGTCTACCACTTAACAAAAGAGTTTCAGAACTGTGGAAATTTTTGTTAGGTGATACTTTTAAACAAAATAATTTATTAAGAACCTCTCTGAAGAGCTGAGGTAATCTAAAGACTATTTAATTTCAAAATGCATATTTACTTGCATGAGAAAAACACTGGTGGTGAAAAAGTTCAGATATTCAGAATAAGGTCCTATTCTGCCCTACTGGAATAACTTATTTCCTTTCCTCAGACCAGCCTGCAGGAGTCTCTTATTTTTATCTTCACAATCATCTAGTGATTGGCTAAGAATATAAGATCAGCTTCTGATCATTTTGCATAATTTCTTTGTGAAGTGGGAAGTGAAACCTAAGCTTATGCTGAGTCAAACTAGGGCTGTATATTTATGAACATTAAGTGGCAACCACTCTCCAGGTGAAGGGACTTTGCTAGTTTACTTTCAGATACAGGTAGTCCTTGACTTATAACAGTTCATTTAGTGACCATTTGAAGTTACAAAGGCACTGGAAAAAGTGACTAATGGCCATTTTTCAGACTTAACAACTGTTGCAACATCTCTATGGTCACATGATCAAAATTCAGACGCTTTGCAACTGACTCATATTTATGGCAGTTGCAATGACCTGGGGTCATAATCATCTTTTCCAATCTTCTCACAAGCAAAGTCAATTGGAAAGCTAGATTTACTTAACAACTGACTTAACAACTGCCACAAGAAAGTTTGTTAAATGGGACAAAGTTTAGTTAACTGTGTCACTTAGCAACATAAATTTTGGGCTCAATTGTGATTGTGAGGACTACCTGTACTCTAAAGCTCTTCCTTACAGTATTCATGTGTACAGTGCAATGCAAGTGCAGAAATCCTGTCTTAGTGGTATTTTCCTCTTCCAATGTATACTTTTTCTGGCAAGTTAGCATTAGCAAGTTCAGGTCCATGCAGCTGAGGCATTGCACCAGTTTCAGTTTAAAGTTTCATTATGATTAGACAAATATGGTTTGCAATCTGGCCTCAAATCTGTACCACAGATTGAAGTAGATCTGCTTCAGGAAACCTGTCCTAAGGATATTTTTACACTGTGTAAATTAAACAGTAAACTTTTCCATTGTGAAGGTTTTTTTCTTTTTTAAGATTTGGAATATTATTTTGGGCTTTAAATCTGATTTACTTTTTTGTTCTTCCTCATTCCTAATGTGCTACTAGACGCTATAAATTATCAAAATAAATATGTATGCAGGTTTACAATTTTCTACTATTTATTTTTAAATTTCTTTTGATAAGACTACAATGACTTTTTCTTTAACCCATTATTTCCCATCAGCTTTTTGGATTGTTTGTCAATTTGGTCTTTTTAGGGCAGGCGTTTACGATAATGCTAGTATATGTGTGGAGCCGCAGAAATCCTTTTGTTCGCATGAATTTCTTTGGGCTTCTCATCTTTCAGGCTCCATTTCTTCCATGGGTTCTCATGGGATTTTCACTTTTATTGGGAAACTCCATTATAGTAGATCTTCTAGGTAAGATGATTGAAAATTCTGTCAGTAAGTGAGCCATAATAAAATCCTTGCCTTGTTGATCTGCCTCATCCCTTAAAAATTGTTATTTGCTTTTCTGCTTGTGCATACTAACATTTAGTTTTGAAGGGTATTTTTAACACAAAGATAGTTACAATACAATGGTTATTGAGGAATCCCAGCAGCAATGATTACACTGTTAGAAGATGTGAAAGACCAGATCATTCTGGAGGACTATTTATATAATTGCTAAAAGTAGTCCTTAACTTGATGGTACATAATAATAAAAAAAAAAATTCTTCATAGCAGCCCTTTTTAATCATTATGAGGGGATACAGATTTATTCCCTAGTTTAATCATGAGAATTGTATATACTTTGCCAAATGTAAAATGCAGAATTCATAAAAGCACTACTGTGTTGTTTGTTGTCTTAGTTTACATATGAAGAAAAGAGGCCAAGAAGAGCAATGCTATATATGAAAATCTTAAGTTAGAAATACATGCTTCTTCTAAAAATAGATGAACTGATGATGTGAAAAACGATTAAATGTTTTAAATGTTAAAGCAAAAGGAGGAGGTTTTGCTGTCCACCTAAATATTCACACAATTAGAAAAGAAAACTAACTTATTTAGAGTTCCTAAGAAACAATCTTTTCAAGCCTAAGGTAGTCTTTTATGAAACACTCTTTTAAAATGCTTTCTCAAAACTGCAGTGATTAATGTTGGATAGTTGGATGCTTTTAGACTTTTGTAATAAAACAATGTTGTGTTTCAATATTTCCCCCCTCATCTCTAGGCATTGCTGTGGGTCACATATATTTCTTCTTGGAAGATGTCTTTCCAAATCAGCCCGGGGGAGGAAGGCTTCTAAAAACACCATCCATATTGTAAGTGCTTTCTGTTATTTTTTTTATTTTATTTTTTCATTTAAATCATTTACAGAGCTGCCCATCTTATAGCCAATTCTGAGGAGCTCCCAATCAAAAATGCTTTCCTTTGTACTTGGTATTGAGTGGGAGGGAAGAGGCAGAATAAACTATCCAAACTAATGCAAAACAGTTGTATTCAGCGAGCGAATTCCAAACCTAAAAAGATAGAAAATGGACAGAGATGGAATTCACATTGAATTCTTGAATAATCCACATTGGATTCTTGAATTATCATTTTAATCTCCCAGATTTGTTCAAGGTTTTCCAAGCAGGGCTTAGAGCTGATCATACCTAAGAGGTGTTTAATTAAATGGAATTCCCAGAGGAAGTCTACATCAATATTAGAACACATGCTTCACATGATGAATATCCTGAATTCAACCTCAGCATGTATAGATAGAACTGGGAATAATATCTAAAATCTGGAGAAGCACTGTCAGTTAGCACAATACTGAACTAAATGGATTGGTTGCCTGGCTCAACATACAATGCCAGATAATTGCTATGGAGAATATTTGTCTATAAGTACTGCTTGTGGGATTTATAAAAGCATCTCACTGGTTACCGTACTTACAGAACAGGTGATTAAAATTGGTGAGATACTTTTTGGCCTCAGATATCATTTACCATGTTAAACTGAACCATATCATCTTAGAAAAGTCTAATAGGTTTTTAATCTGTTTAGAATTCAATTTATATCCTACACAAAGGAAACTATAAAAACAGCACATTGTGATAACTAACTTGATAAATGTCAATAATAACAGCTTAAAAAATCACCCTGTTCTGACCTAGGCTTCCCCAACAGCACAAAGCCGAGTTTTCTTCCTGATAAACCCCCTTTATTTAATTTACAGTGAATTCCTCTCCAGCCAAGTCCCGGCCAACAGTCTTTCAAGATAGTTCACAATTACAGACATTTATCAGGCTTGGAGAGAGGCCAGGCTGATATCTTTCAGAGGCCACAACACTTGGCAAGAATGCAGGAATGAACTAATTGTGTCCTGCAAAACTCCACTCTCCTTTCACTCCTCTTTTATTCTCTATGGGAGGGGCCGTTCACTGTCCACCTGTGGCTTTACTCTCAAGTCAACCCTTGTTCCTTAGCTGTTGCCTTTGTCTGGCAACTCTGTGCATGCGCACACTGGGAACAGGCTCCAGCTGTTCTGCCTCACTCCAAAGGCAGCTGATAAGCCCTGGCCCCATCTCTGTCTCAGATGCAGAGCACTTGTCAGAGCCTTTCCCAAACTCCAGGACTGGCCCATGTTTCTCCCCAACCTCATTGTCTGAATCTGCTGCCAGCTCTGCTGGCTGCTGACAGGCCACAACACACCCTATCCTGCTTTGCTGCTTGGGCTTGATGAAAGCTGTATTTGGTACTTCTGTAAAATATCAAAGCTGCAATACAGTCACAATAAAGTAATTTAGAAGCAGCATTTAAAAGAAGCTTTATAACAAACTGAGAAATACCAAATTGAGAAATATATGCAGTTCAGAACAGTGGGAACTACTGGTTCTTCCTAAGCCAAATATACATACATTCCTAATTCTGGCCACCTGTTATTCTTTCCAATTACCTTTGAAGCAAAAGAGAAAAGAACAAGTTGGCAGAAATCATGGAGCTTTAAATGCTTCCCTTTTGATAGTAATATATGTACACTTTTCTATTTTTGTTGACTTGAGCATTAAATATATATATTGCTTAACAGGAAACTAATATTTGATACTCCAGAAGAAGATCCCAATTACAATCCATTACCTGAAGAAAGGCCAGGAGGTTTTGCATGGGGAGAAGGTCAGCGCCTAGGAGGCTGAGATCCGGCAAACATCTTTGATGAGAGACTAGACAAGCAAACCACCCTGGAGAATGGTTCTGTTCTCTTGTGCATAAAGGAAGTTTTGACAGCTCTGAATATGCAAAACATTTTTTCAAAAATGAAAAAAAAAAACCTGATCAAAAGACATTTTTCAAGGAACTGACTTCAAACTCTTGGAGACTTTTACATTGATTTGTTTAGAAATGAATGATCCAAGCCAAGGAAAACTGGAAATGCACATTCTTGTGTTCTTCAGTTCATGTATAAAAAAAAATACTTGTAAAGCCCTTTTCAATTTTATTTCATACAGGACTGGGCAATTACAGAAGATGAATAAAACTGTTTATTTTACTTTTCTTTTTTCATTAGATAATTAAACAGGCAAGCTTACTTGACTTGCTGGCCATGGCAATGGTGCCTCTGAAGCAAACTACAACTGAAGAGCCTCTTTTTTTCTCAGAAGATTTGGTCAGATTTTATATGCTGAATGATGTTGAAGTCTTTGTGTTTACCAAAACTGGTTAACTGTTATGTTTGCAGTGTAATCCCCAGTGGTGGCTAGGAACTGAGCTGGTTGGTGAGATTTCATATGTAAATTGTAAAATTGATTAGCCATCTTCCTTACGTACAGTGTTATATATTCTCTTAAAAGCAGATTTCTCATGTGGTGTTTGGGATTACAGTCAAAGTAGATACTATTATGGTGGATACTATAGAAGTTTGACTTTTATATCTTCAATTCCATTGGCATCTTTGCTATTTTTGTATTTCATGGACCATGATTTGTCTTCCACTATTGCTACTTGAAAAGAAACCATCTAAGAAACTAATCTCGTGACAGACTGTACTGGAAGAATGAAAGTTTTAAGCTATAATTTGTACAAAATATCTGTTTTATGAAAGACCTCTTCAGGGCTAAAAAGTGCTTTATTTGGCCTGTTGTGTGGGCGAATTACCTTCCGAGATTCACACTTAAATTGCTGCACAGTGGCCTTAGCATCCCACATAATAAAAGATAGCTGAAATTCCGAGATCATAAAATTTTGTGAGATCTTAAGATTCTTGTGCCCAAGGTCTTGGCCAGTTAAAAAATGTGAGAGTTCAGGAGTTGAGCTGCGGTCTAGGAGTTTGAAGAGTGTGAAGTTATTAAACTTTGACATCCTTATGGTAGAACAAATTCTGATGCATTTGGTATGTAAAAAAACCTGAATGATAAGCCACTTGGCCTACAGGCAGTCTTCAACCATTCTATATGTTCTTTGATGAGCAAGTCAGCCCTCCTCATAACTTAAGCCCCACAGTTGCTGGTATTGTCCAAATAGTTGCATTGCTATCACTAGCTTTTCCCCATTTCCAAACAAAAGTGCTAGTTTAAAAAACAGCACCAAACAAGCATACTCTTTGTGTGTGTGCACGCGCACGCTGATTTTTAAAAATGTGGAACAGTCAATCTGGACAATGTAGATTGAAAGCAGTTTCAAATGCATTCTTCTTCCTCATGGACTGACCTCCCTTAGATTAGGAGTGTAAAATGTATGGATCAGCACAAATTGTCAGTAACTCTTATGGGTTCATGGGGTAGAGTCAAATGTTTGGGCTTCTTTTACATTTTTATTGGTCCAAGAGGATAAATGCATGTATTAACCTTTAGATGACTCTTTTAGTGGAGTTATATAAGGAAGATAAACTATGAACAGATTTAACATTAGATAAATAGCAATAGCTATTTCATACTGATAACTGATGTTGGGGGCAATACAGCACTGTCTCTGAAACCCAGTATTGATAAGGATGCTAAATTTTATTATGTTTGCTGCTCTTGGCATTCAGTGACTCTAAATTTATACTTCAAACAACTGAGAATCACAAACATTTATACAACCACCAGCAAATTCTCATTTCTCCCACATTTATCAGAGTGGGTGAAAAATTACCTTTCATATAATATGTTCTGCAAAATAAAATCTAAACTGGTTGTGTGAAAGGTGGAGATTTTGTAGATTTCTAAATCCCATGGATAAACTTTTCTTACTGCCAGTGATTTAACAAACACTCTTATTTTAAAAAATGTGAATACTGTGATGATTTTAAAAACAGAATCCTGGCTGCATGCAAGTTCAAACCATCTTGTTTTGTATGTATGTTTTCTCAAACAACTTTTGCAACTAATTATTGAGATTTCAGTAGGAAAAATGGATGCAGTTATTTCTTTGTGAGAAGCCTATCCACAATACCTTGCATTATGCCAGAAAGGTGGTTTTGTGGTAAAGTATTAAAAATTCAGGATTGCCTGGTAGTACAACTAAAAGATAGCTCTGGTATCTCATATAGATGCCTTTTCAGGAGGCAAGTGGACTTTGTTTTTTTCTTTTGAAGACGTTTTGCTTCTCATCCAAGAAGCTTCTTCAGCTCTGACAGCTTTGACAGTCTTCAAAAGTCCAATTGCCTCCTGAAAAAGTACCTTTGGGACAACCATGACCTAGATGACTGAATCTCTACAGCAGAGGTCTTCAATCTTGACAGCTTTAAGAGGTGTGGACTTCAACTCCCAGAATTCCTCCTTTAGTTATGTTAGCTCGGGAATTCTGGGAGTTGAAGTCCACAAGTCTTAAAGCTGTCAAGTTTGAAGACCTTTGCTCTACAGAATCCAGTTACCGTTGATTGTTAACTGACAAAATAGAAATACTATTTAGGCGGCTATAAATAATAGTGCTTTTCCCCGTGAATCATATTGCAAATTATTTACAGGCAATCATACATAAAATTGAATATCGTGTATTTCTGACTCAGAATAATAGCTACCATGGTTTAAAAAGAATAAAAGGTTATGAAAAGAGCTCGGGCCCTGCCATGTGGAATTTGGAATTCCCGGAAATAAGAACATCAGGAAACAAAGTAAAACAAGCAAAAGACGAGGGCAGGAACGTTGCAACACAACACCCTGTTCCTCAAAACCACGGTTCACACGCCTGCGGCAAGCGCAACTTGCAGACGCAAAACGCTCAGCCCTTGGGTGAACAGTTAGCGCGCATGTCTAAATTGGAGAAAGCTCATGCGAACTACAATCTCCAAGAGCCTCCTACGAAATTAGCGAGCGGGCATTGACGAGACGGGCTCGAGGATCGCTGGGAAATGTAGTCAACGTTTTTCTGAGGCAAAACTCTGAGGGGCGGGGCCCGGCGAAGCATGTTACCTGACGCCGGCGAAGACGCCGCCGCTATCACTGGGAGCCGAGGATGCCTCAGAGGACCGGGGAGCTGCCCCCGTTCAAGAAACCGAAGCTGGCGTCCACCACGCTGCCTCTCCCCTCTGGATCGCGCCGAGCCATGTTGCTAACGACGCCGGGGACGAAACGCCATCCTTCGTCCTGCTCTTCTTTGTCGTCGTCGTCGTTCTCCTCTTCTTCCATAGGGATCGACAGCCAGCGTCGGAGTCTGCCGATTTTCCAAGCGCGGGGGACGCTGCTCGGACAGCTCCGCACCTTGGACTGCGCGGTCCTGATCGGTGAGGGAATCATCTTGCCCTTCCCCCACCCTTTCTAAACAGCCTTGCTGTGGAGGAGGGGGAGGAGTCGGCAGAAGCCTCGCCCCTTTCCCGAAGGGGAGGGGGGGTTGAGCGGGAGGGCTCCTCCCGGCTTACTGCAGGAAAGGGGCGGAGCCTGTGGCGTTGTGTTCGTTCTGCGCAGCTGCTGTGCGGAGGGCGGGGCTGTTCCATGGCCTCTCTTTGCCGTCAGTTGCCTATTCTGAGGGAATTTTTCCCCTTGAAGGGAAGAAAAGCGGAGCGTCAGAATGCTGCTCCTCTTTCTCTTTACCTTCCGTCCCCGAGTAGATGCAAGGCTCCCTTTTTGCTACTGAAAGGCACCCGCGGATGCTCTCTGTTTTTTATGTTGGATACTTTTTTAAAAAAAAAAATGTTTATTGTACTTTTTCACATTCAAAAAACCCCCCAATCTTCTCAGCACTGTGACATCGACATTTCCGTTTCAGTCAACATAACATATTTACATTTTTGTTTCTACTTTCTAATCAATTATACTACTTTTCTCAGACCGTATAGTATTCCATATCTTCCCTATCTTGCAATTCCAATGTAAGTTTGACCATCTCTGCACAATCCATTACTTTCTTTTTTATCATACTTTCGGAGAGGGTACTATCTAGTTTCCAATTCTTGCTGCAGTCAATATATGTATTATAATATATTTAGTTCCTTTATCAAATAGTACATTGAATACTTTTTGCAGGGTGACTTTTGCTGGGGATCCTCCTGTTAGCCGCCCCTTTCTCTGGAGCAGAGGTCTCCAACCTGGGCAACTTTAAGACTTGTGGACTTCAACTATGGGAGTTGAAATCCACAAGTCTTAAAGTTGCCCAGGTTTGAAGACCCCTGTGCTGGAGTGTTGGAGTTTAATACCGGCTCCCAGGGTGGTTTTAAGGCTGTGCTTTGAACCATTGCTCTCAGGTTTCCCAAAGTAGGGATAGGAATTGTGGAGCTGTAGCCCACTACAGCTGTTGACGTGGTTTTTTTTTTTGGCAGATGTTAGCTTATGGTTTCCTGATACAGGTAGTCCTAGACTTACAACAGTTTAGTGACCTTTTGAAGCAAGGGTCATCAAACTCGGCAAGTTTAAGATTTGTGGACTTCAACTCCCAGAATTCCTGAGCTAACATGACTGGAGGAGGAATTCTGGGAATTGAAGTCCACAAGTGTTAAAGCTGTCAAGTTTGAAGACCCGTTTTGAAGTTTTACAATGACACTGGGGAAAAAAGTGACTCGTGTCCATTTTTCACACTTATGACCCTTGCAGTATCCCCATGGTCATGTGATCAAAATTCAGATGCCTGGCAATTGAATCGTATTTATGACGGTTGTGATGTTCCGGGTTCATGTGATCATCTTTTGTGTCCTTTTGACAAGCAAAGTCAATGGGGAAGCCAGATGCACTTAACCATGTTACTAACTTAACAAGTGTAGTGATTCACTTAACAACTGTGGCAAGAAAGGTTGTAAAATAGGGCACAATTGACTTAAACTGTTTCATTTAGTAACAGAAACTTTGGTCTCAACTGTGGTCATAAATTGAGGAACTATCTGTATAGTTTTTTGCTACGATTCCTCAAAAAGGTACAGAGGGTTGCTGGTGACAGCCCCTATTTTTTGGTTGGATATGGTTTAATTAGCCTCTCTTCAATTATTCCCAAGTATTTGAAATGCAACCTAGTCTTTAAAGTTGGGGGGAGATCTTTATTTTCCTCATTTATTGAAGAGGATTCCATCCCAAATCTAGCAAATGGATGTGGTTAAAAGAGAAAAAAATATTAAACAGAAAGTAATTAATTGGAGGTTATTCAGTGGTTTGGCATATATGTCATACTGCCCTGAACTGAGGTTTGAAAACAATGTTTGGGTAGTTGGAAATAACTCATGAATTACAGTCCAACATTAGAACACAGTCATTAAGTTCACGCAAGCTTTAGAAGAAGCTAAAATGGGTTTGGTATCTTGGAGGTAGCATATTATTGACCCCTGCAGTGTTTCTTATCTAGGATTAGAGATTAACATGTTGTAGGAACTCAGCCAATGGTGGGATTTTCCAAATCGTCCTAAAATACAGACAAATCAAATTGAACAGTTACTGCTGGAGCTAATAAATGGCTATATTCTTTATAATTAACAGTATCAAGACAATACCATAGACTGGGAAGTTGTACCTAACGCCCTTTTCTTGGTGCTGAAAGAACAGCTACTGTAGATAAAGTGTAAAACTATTTTTTTCCAATTTGGAATAAATTGTACTACTGTTAACTATAATTGTCAGGACCTGTTTTGTTAATGGGGGAAGGAAATGGGAATAGTAATAATGTATCTTTATCCCACATTTTAAATATATTTTATTTTTTAATAGTTTTTTACTCCACCTTTATTTATAAGTAACTCAAGGGGAAACCATACTATTTTCTCCTGTGGGTTAGGCTTGGAGGGAGAGGGGGAGG